TATTTAGTGTTGAGTGAAGAGGTAGAGAAAGGTATTCCCTATTCCCAAACATTTTAACTTTTATGTCTCTACCCAAAGTTGGAATATAATCTAGACTTGAAGGCTTTTCTGATTCTTTTTAAAATGATGTACATTGTTGAATGAAGTCAGAACTTCAATCTGACTTAAATCTCACTCATTGATACCCAGTTTGGAACATCTCTTTCTAATTTTTAATAGAATGTATTCTTTCTTGCCTAATATTCTTATCTTTAGACTTCTGCGTATCAGAAGGCCTGTGTGCCTTCTGATTTTGTGGTTTGTGGTTTTGCACCATCTGGAAGTTCAAATTTGACTTTAGAAATGATGTCATAGTTGCTTACTGCAAACTGGGCTGATGTTGTTTGAGAATTGGATGCAGTTCAGGTTAAAAAAATAAAATAAAATAAAATAAAAAAGGACCTTCAAGTTTTGTATCTTGATTCTAGGAGACTATGTAAAGCTCTAAAGATAGAGTGAAGGTGATTGAAGGGCATGGTCCAAATTCCTTTGAAGTTAAGTACATGCTTTCCAGCACATAGAAAAATCATCTCCCACACAGAAGACCTCAGCTGGCACAGACTCCCTCCTGCCATGTTGAATTTGGGTGTTGCGCATAGTCTGTTGATCACAACCATCCTTGCTCTCTGTTTTATTCCAGGAGATGTGTTCTCACAGCTAGGGTTGCTTTTCATCTCCTTGCCCAGGAAGATGCAGCAGGACCCTGATAGATCACACATGGAGAGAAGGTGCTACAAATATTAAGTGTATTATTCATCATTAAAGAGTGTTTTTTTTTTCTAAACTCTCTCCAGCACCACTCACCACCTTCCATATTGTAATTTATTTGCACCACAGTTAAAATTGTGGGCATGTATTTTAGGTCCACATATGGGCCATTCAACTTTGATAACCAGAATGTTGAGCTGAGAGGTCCACAGTCATATTTTTTTTCTCTGAATCTCATTGAGTAAGCCTATTGAAAATATCTCTAATTGATTGTAACCACTTCTAACTAYTGCTGTAATCTAAAGTGTTCAGCATGTTCTGGCAATTTCCAAGGACCTCACCAAATGCCCATGCTTTATGCATAAGCTAAATACACATTTTGTCATCAGATAGGATGAAAACCCAAAGAGAAATAGTGTTGTTATTCCAGGTTGGTAGATGAAAATAACTTTTCACCCCCCATACTCCGTAAAGGCGTACACCACTAAGCCTGAAGATGAAGATAACTTTTAACAAAGATAAGCCACTTTAGAACTAAGATGCTTAAGCTTTGGTGTACCTGGCATAGGTTTGCTTTCAAGAAAGAGAAGAATCTCAGGACAAGATTATCTCTTCCACTTTCCTAGCCCCTGTATCTGAATGATCATTATGTGAGAAGAGATATAGYTATCTGATATTTGAAGAAACTGTAGTTCTCAGGCTCTCTGATCACAGAGTATTCACCCTCTCTCATTGTGTGGTCAGTAGTTTTATGCCGTATGGGCTTCAAACACCTTTTGTCACCCCTTCCTCATGAGGCCTTCCAGATTCATCCTCTTTTCTGGGCCAGAACTGGAAAAACTACTCATTTACCTCCATGTCAACTTTGACCTTTAGAAATAAAGCATTGGAACCCCTTGCTTGGAAAGGGTAAACAAAGGAGATTCTATTCCAATAACTTTTATCTTTAATATCATCCTTCTTTGCTGGTATAGTCTACCAAAGACTGATTCCTGCCTTCAACATCACAAAATTTTAGGCATCAAGACCCGTCTCTTCTAACCTTTTTGTGTTACATAGGAACAAGCTGTGGCTGAAGGCTAAAAGCTGTGGCTGGAGGCTAAGTTGAGGAGAGTCGTTCATCCTGATTCTCACAGCTACATAGAAGCAAACTGGGGACCCAAAGCCTTGGGTGTTCTTTTCCCATTGTTCAAGTTGTTGTTTGACTCTGTGTCTTCTTAGTGTTTTTACATATCTATTTATTTTGGCTTATTATAGTATTCTTGCAATGTTTAAAGTTTTTTCCTTTCCATCTAGATTTTACTTGACTATAACATAAAGAAGCAAAATATTCAACAAAAATTGTTATGAGATGCAGCAACCCTCGACTTCCCATCGTCCTATTTCTTCTTCCTCCAAACAATCCCCATTAATTATTTTTGCCTGGTTATTTTGACACCTCAACTTCATGGTTATTTATGTTGCTACCATTATTGATTTTTTTTTGTATGGAAGGTGAGAATCAAACCTTTCATCACCCCAGTACCCCATTGCCCATATAAACCCTGTTATTCCCTTCTTTCTCTCATAAGGGTTATATGATAATTTGGTTGCAGCTTGTTTTGTTGTTATTATTTTGGTTTCTCTTGTTCTTGAAAGAGATTTTTGTAAGATGTTTATTAATCTTTAGTTGTATACTCATAAATTTTTCAACTTCATTGAAATATGAATTATTTAACTGTACAATTCAGTGAGTTTTGATATATCATTTAATATACCATTTATCTACTCTCCTAATCAATTTAGAGAACAAAATTCTGTTTTGACCCATTGTAGCCAGTCCTTCCACCTCCCACCATGGACAGCTGTGCAATCTTTTCTATCACCTACATTACTTTGACCAATTTTAGAATTTCATAGAAATGGAAATAAAATCATATAATACAACTTCTGTATTCTTTGCACTCAACCTGCTTTTGGGACCTACCTTTTTATTGCATGTATCTGTAGTTTATTCTTTTCTTTTTTAATTTTTTAAGATGTCAATGGACCTTTATTTTATTTATTGACACACAGTGCTGAGAATCGAACCTCGTGCCTCACACATGCTAGGCAAGCGCCCCGCCACTGAGCCACAACCCTGGCCCAAGCCACAACCCCAGCCCTGTAGTTTATTCTTTTGTATTGCTAGATACTATTCCAGATAAATGAAAGGATAAACAACTATGGTAATATTTGATGGTGGAGATTTGGGCTGTGTCCATTATGATCCATTATAGATAATTCTGATATGAACATTTCTATAAACATCATTTTGTAGACAAATTTTTAAGAATCATTAATGATCTAATTTAATTTTGGTTTATTTGGTTTAATAAGGTACATCCTTTGTTCAAACCAAGGGAATTAACCACAGTTATCTCATATATCCTATCCCAAACTGACCATGATAGATCACTGGAGAGATAACTCCTGGAACCACATATATCACATATGAAGTTGTCTTTAATGATCCAGAGAAAATAAATCATGGTGGTTATCTTAGTCCATTTGAGCTGTTTTAATAAAATATCTGAATAAAGTAGTTTATAGGCAATAAAAATAAATTTTTTTCTAGTTCCATAGACTTGGAAATCCATGCTCAATGTGCCAGATGATGTAGTGTCTGGCAAAGGCGCTCTATACACAGTACCTTCTTACTATGTCTTCACTTGGTGGCAGAGGCTAATGGGCTCCCTTGGATCTGTAAAGGTACTAATCCCACCCATGCTCTAATCATTCCTGAAAAGCCCTTTCTGTTAATATTATTGCATTGGCAATTCAATTTCAATGTAAGATTTTTGAAATGTCACAAACATTCATATCCTGTATACCATTTATCTACTCTCCTAATCAATTTAGAGAACAAAAATTCTGTTTTGATCCTTTATAGTCAGCCCTACCATCTTCAGCAATGGCATCTGCTGAAATGGCAGCACGGTAATTTTTGGCAAAAGGTTCTAGTCTTTTAAAAAAATTCCAATTAAATCCAGGTATGGTGGTACATGCCTATAATCCCAGTGGCTTGGGAGGCTGAGGCAGGAGGATCCTAAGTTCAAAGCCAGCCTCAGCAACTTAGTGAGGCCCTGAGCAACTTATTGAGAACTTGTCTCAAAAAAATAATAATAACAAATAAAAATGGGCTGGGGATGCAGCTTAGTAGCTAAGCATCTCTGGGGTCAATCCTTGGTACCTGCCTAAAAAATACAATTTAAAAGCACATGTCTTGGGAGTAGCATATTAGATATGATTATTCAGTTGACAGTAGTGTCCTCTGAATTCTCAGTCTGTTATTGACAATAATTAATGAGAATAATCTTCACATAAAGTGTCATAGTTGGTTTTTAAAACTAGAACAATGGGTATTTGTAAACATAGAGACAAATACAATCTTATAGACCGATATAGTAGAATTTAGAAAGACTATAGGGGATTAACTTTCAAATGGTCTTTTAATGGCCTTCATATTCTTTTTATTGTCTCATTTTTTTCTATCACCCCAGTGATTTTTTTCTATAATCTAGAATTTGAGTATAGAAACAAAACTTTCTTTGCACATAGGGTTCAGAAGATCTTAAATATAAAAATAAAATTTATGTTTTATCTTTATATTAGTGAAAAACAGGAATTGTATTTTTCTAATTTTTGAGCTCAGGTAGAAATAGGATTTTTTTAAGTATTTGGAAAACAGTTTTTCATATAACTAAAGGATGGGTGTTTAATTTCTAGACCAGTTTCTTCCTCTGGCAACACTAACTTCCTCTTGGCAATATGTATTTCTCTAATTTAGGAATGTTTCTCTATGTGTCAGTCTTGTTCTTCCAGATGCTCATGATGTTCTCCACATATCTGGAGGATGCTGCAAATTGTGAGGAGTGTATTGCCCTCACTGGGCTCTCAGACATGGAGTATTTAATGTGCTTTATTTCCCAGCCTAAGTGAATACATTGTTTCCTGAAAGCAGGGAAGCAAACTTGGGAGCATACTACTATTTTATAAAGTCTTATTTCATAGAAACCTTATATTTAAAAAAATTTCCATTTATATATGCACACAATAGGACTTTAAGGTAGATTACTGGCTGTTAAAATATATGGCATCAAGGTGCCTGTGAGCAATGGGTTGATCACCCTATATTCAAGAAGCTCATGCTACTATCCACCCCTGCAAGGGCATTCCTGATGGTGATTGATAGCCTCTTGGTAAAAACAAAACTTTCTTTTTCCTGATTTTAGGTAGATGCACTGAGATTACGACTGGAAGAAAAAGAATCTTTTCTCAATAAAAAAACAAAACAATTGCAGGACCTCACAGAAGAGAAGGGAACACTGGCTGGAGAGATTCGTGACATGAAAGATATGTTAGAAGTGAAGGAAAGAAAAATTAATGTTCTCCAGAAAAAGGTGAGTAGCTTTCATGTTGAGAGTTGGTATCATGCATGTTTTGTCATGTAGAGAGATTTTGAGCAGATGGAAAATAAATTGTCTTTAAAATTTTAGATTAGGAAGTATATTAGTTATTGACATTTTACTTGTGGTTGTATCATATCATTTTTAGCTTGGCCTAATGAATTTTTTACTTTATCACTTAAAAACTGAATAGAGATTTTTTTCATTTGTCAGCTTAAACATGGAGGTAATTTTATAAATTTGGGTATAAACATAAAATAGTAGAGCCAGGGTGCTGCTAGGTAAGTGGTAAAACTTCTGCTTAGCATGTGTGAGGCCATGGATTCCACACTCACCCGTGAATAAAAAAAATTAAATCCAAAAAGTGAGCTTATTTTTCATTTTTCCTTCTTGAGAGTTGATCAGTGTAGTTTGTCTTTAATGCATTTTAGATTCATTTTATAGTTACATAATCTTTGGTTGGTTATATCCTGATGTCTTAGTGCATTCCTGCTGCTATAACAAAATAGCTAAGACTAGGCAATTTATAAAAAACAGAAATATATTTTCTCACAGTTCTGAAGAAAAGTCCAAGATCAAGGTAGAAGTAGGTTCAGTGTCCAATGAGAGTGTTCTCTTTGCTTCCATCATATTGCCTTGTTGCCGCATCCTCTAGAGGGCATATATGCCATTCCCTCATGTGATGGATGGTTCCCTCTAGCCCATTTATAAGGTTGCTAATCCCATTTATGTGGTCTCTGGTCTCATAACTTAAGTACTTTCTGTAGATTCCACCTCTTAATATTTTCACATTGGTGATTAAGTAACATTCAGACCATGGCAATTGCCAAATCCATGTAGATTATTTGGAGAGAAGAGTAATGTTTATACGATATACTTATTTGAATCAACAGAGAGAATGTATAAGAAGTCCCAACCACAGTAACCCAACAAGAAGATGCTCAGCCTCATTAGGACCCTTGTTTTCTTTCTTCTTTCAATGGCTCCTTTTCTCCATTATAGGAGCCCTTGATTTTGTGACAGTACTGTGATTTTCTTTGTTTTAAAACATTTTTAGTTGTAGATGGACACAGTACCTTTAATTAATTAATTAATTTTTATGTGGTGCTGAGGATTGGACCCAGAGCCTCCTCTGTGCTAGGCAAGTGCTCTGCCAGTGAGCTACAACCTGAGACCAGCATTGTGAATTTCTTTTAGATAATTCCCATTTAATGATGTGTACGGTTTAGGGAGAACCATAGAGTGCCTTGTCTTCCTCTAGAAAACGGGTCAGCAAGAAAAGAAACCAATTTCTGCTCTTTTATGAAAGACAAAAGTGGTTAGAAAGATATAAAGCACTCAGATTAGCATACAATCATTATGCAAACTGAGTGGAAATTAATGGTGGGCCAAAGATACCACCCTAGGCAGGCATGTTGCTGGACACCATGCTGTGGCTACACTTGCCACCATCCTCTTGGTGTCACTTGCCATCATCATTTCTCACTCAGATCGTATTAAAAGTATCCTAGCTGTTTTTCCTTCATTTATCCTTGTATTTCTTATAGTCTATTCTCAACATAGAAACTTACTCTGTGGTCAAAACTCTCCATTCACAACCAGCTACAAAATTTGTGGGGTCTAGTAAAAATGAACATTTTTTTGTTGTTTTGTGATGCTGGGATCAAACCCAGGGCCTCACATATGCTAGGCAAGCACTCTGTCACTGTACTGTCCTCTCAGCTCATGACCCAGTACAAATGTGGAGGGTTTTGTTCAAAAATTTAGAATTTCAAGATGGCAATAGCAGAACATAAAACCATGTGTGGGACCCAGGACTGCTGTACAAGTCACAGGTCCATGAAGCTGTACCAGTCCCAGGGGCTTCCATTTTCACTCCGAGGTAATAGTGGAAGTCTTTATAAGGGCCCATGATGTCTTATATGATTGAGCTTCTGACTTCCTGTTTTGTTGGTCTCCCCTTTACTCATGTCATGTTGGCCTCCACTGCCTTTGTACTCTTCTGAGGGAGACATCAGGCATGTTCTCATGTTTTACAGTATTCCCCATGGGGACACTCACCCTGGACTTGCCCTGCCTTGTGTGGTAGCTATAAGCCTAAAGCTCCTGAGTTGGGATGTGCTATAATTGTGAAAAACCTACCAGATTTTGAAGACTTATTGTGAAAAGTATATTGTGAGACCTCTCATTAATAATCTTTATATTATATGTTTAAATACAAATATTTTGGACATAGTAGGTGAGCTAAAATATAATTTTAAAATTTATATCACTTTTCTTTTTTTGTTTTTTAATGGTCTACAAGAAAATTTTATATTACCTATGTGGCTCCTATTATGTTTCTATTGGACAGAACTGCTCTAAGTATTCACATGACTCATGCCTTTTCTCCTTTTGGGCCTCTGTTCAAATGGTACTTTGTTATAGACCTTTGCCCTTTGTTACAGACATAAAGTAGCATTATCACATTCTACATGTTGTTCCCTTGTGCAATTTTATTTTTCCTGCCAATTTGACTCAAGGACTGAGCCATGCAATGATGACCATGACAGTTGGTACTTATTTGTTTCTGTAGAGAGGTTGGGATGAGATTATCAATGAATTCTTAATATCCAGACCCCTACTTGTCCACACTTCTGCTTTTTCATAAGTGAGTTCTCTGGGCTTTTCAAATAAAGAGAGACATCAGATCTCCTCTCAGTGCATTCCTGTTCTATTATGGTGAACCAGAACCTTTAAATGGTGTAATTATGCACAGAATAATGTGGCTTTCATTTTATAGAATAATTAAAGTTAGATAAAAATCAAATCATTGAAATTTCACCAAGGAGTTAAAAGTAGAGATCCTGCATTTGTTTGGAACTCTCAAGATRTTGGTGATTCAGTGGGTTGTATTATGAGTTCATTTCTGTTGAAATCTTCATGGACAAGGACCTCATTATTGGATTCCCATCTCACAGTACCCATTTGGTTGATAATAGATAACTGAAAGAGACCTGGGCAGAGATAAGTAAAGACCCTTGAATCAAAGGGTTTTTGTTGGGTGGGGTTAATAGAGAAATGTTACATCGACATACATTAGAGCATGTTCTAATGATTGAAGAGAAGACTTTTCATTTAAAATCTCTAGCAATGAGTGACGACAAGAGCTGAAGACCTGCTGGATTTCTTATGTTGCATGCCAAGCACTATTTACTTACTCTTAACTACAACCTGATGAGACAGGTGCAATTATAAATCCAAGGAACTGAGAAATATTTAGGCTTATGAAAAGCTTGCTCAAGGTCACATAGTCTAGATATAAGAATTTGTTTTGTCTTTGAGTAAATAGAATAAATTGGTTAATGCAAATTAAGTGAATGAACCTCATTTTCTTTTGATCTCAATTATTATGTTGATGACACCAGGTATGAGACTGAGTTGAAGAAGATTCTTGTCCCAATTGCTCATTTGCCAAGAGTTGAAACTAAATGTTCTTTCCCTTGAGGAATAACTGACAAAAGATTTTTCAGTAAAATTGTGAGATGGCACCTTCAGTGCATAAGTGACAAATGATCGCTTTTGCTAATATGAATATTTTGAAAAGAAATATTAAACTTTTTTCCATTCCTAGACTCAAAAGTTTGGGAACCAATTTGGATGCTCTGTAATAAAATTGGTGTCTCTTATAGCTCCTTTTGGCAACATGATCATGATCTTGTTTGTTTGAATCATGTAAAAAATGTTTCATGTATACTTGGAGGGTTTGCTTCCAGTTTTTGAACTAAGTGTTTACTGATAGGAGGGTATTAAACCACTGACAACATGGTAAATTAACAAGACTGCTGTTAGACCCGCAGTGTGAAAGGGAAATTATCTCCCAAAAAATGATGTCCATAATTCAGAAGCTGGTTCAAACTGTGGAAATAATAGAGAAGCCAGTGGGTCACTGAAACATTGGGGCTGGAGGCCCTTTGGACCACATTTAGCACAATTGGCTGTTTTAGAGAAGGCCTGGATCTGAACAGTACAATCTTTGGATTACTATTTTGGCATGGAAGAATAATAAACCCATGTCAATGTCAGAGGTGCAACATTACTTCGTGGGCATCCTGCACTGTTTTGATGCCAGTCCAACTGGGTAAGTTCCTTTCCTATCCATATTTAAAGTGGCAGAGCTAGGCTTGCACCTCATATATGTAAGTTTTGCTTTCAGAGCCTTGGGTCTCCAATGTCTTGTGTGTTCTGTAAGTTCTGTAGACACATATGGGTATGAAGATTTAAACATTTTTGTCACTTAAGGAAGGGACTGAAACTGAAGGGAGAACCCCAGGTGGCAAGACAACTCTGATCAATCTTTAGTAAGGAGACAAAAATTATCCAAAATGGACTTTTGGCCCTAATTTCATATTCTTAACTCCATGATGCAAGATATGGAGTTATTTTAGTAGGGATAAAAATATACATGTATGAAAAATGTTTAGTGAACTGTCCCCTGTGGCTGTGATACCAGTCTAAAGAGCAGTAATTTTCATGCTAGAGCCACAGAATTCTGTTCCCATACCTGAATTCAAACTGTAACTGATGAAGTGCTACCTGACTATTGAGTTTTTGTAGGAAATGTCATAAAACCTTGATGACATTGTACATTTGGAAAGTGTATAATGCCTAGCAATTTAGGACATGGTAGTATTTTTTGACCCAGATCAAATCCAGACTGTTACGCAGCTCATAGATTCTTACAGCATAAACTTGCTACCCAGGAATTTAAAAAAGCCATTAAAATTGGACAAAAATTCTATCTCCATTTCCATTCTAGGTCTCAGACTCATGCACAGTGTGAATTTATAGAGTAGAGTTACTTTATTTATTGGGGGTAGGAAAACAGATGTTGATCTCTTTGGAAGCCAAATTCACTGGCTGCCTACTGAACTTGTGGATTGCCCTCTAAGTTGAAAAAGGGAGGGAGGTTGAGTGAAGTTGGCTCCTCCAAGTGGTGTATATGGACTTGCTTG